GTGTGATGACTTGTGTTCCTGTGTACAGCCTGTGAACGGGTGTGATGGCTTATGTTCCCGTGTATAGCCTGTGAACGGGTGTGATGGCTTGTGTTCCCATGCAACGCCTTCCGTCAGCACATGCTAGCACTGGTGTCTGGATTCATTCTTGGTGGAGACAAAGCAATGTTACAGCTTAACTTTCTTCCCCCTGAACCTCTACCAACCAAAAAATAAATAAAAAAGTGCAGGCAGCTTGGCAGTGAGGATGGCAGAGGGATGTCCATGAGATCTAGTGCTCAAGCATTCTAGATTCGGTATTAAAATACACCAGTCTTCTCATGCTGCCGTTTTACAGTCAGATTCAAGGCTGAGGTCCGGTGCACTAACCTGCCTGTTAAATGACTCTCTGCCTCTGCTCTTGAACAGGCCGTCTGTAACTGCTTGCCAAAGTTCACTGGAGATGGGAAGGCCTGCACACTCATCAATGTCTGCTTAATCGTGAGTTCCAGGGCTGCCAGGCCCTTTCTTCTCCCGCTTGCAATATCAGGGCTGTTTCTGGGTCGTGAGGCTCACTTTTCCTCCTGCATACAGCTGGCATCCCGGGGAGAGCGAAAGAACAGACCCCACAGCCTGCCCCCTTGGCTACAAGATTCTGAAGGGAGGGATCTAGGTATGCAGAGCTGGCCCAGAATTCACCTGATGCAGGTGTTTCCAAGCCAGCATGATTAGTTTCCCAAAGTACTGGGAGTGCTAAGCATTTGGGAGTCAGAACAAGCCTTAGCATCTGCTCAGAATCTGGCTCCCTAGCCACAGTGACTGGGTGGTAGGATGTTGATATGTTGCCTGAGTTTATTTATTGCTTTTTCCTTTATGTACCAAATGGGTCAGAAGAGAAGGGCATTTCAGGTTATGGCTCTATTTGACAGCTGCTCTCCCATGCTGTGCTGGCCAAGAGACTCGTGACACATCTGCCCCGGGAGGTCCAGAGGCTCTTTGCTGTCCTCTTGGAAGCATATGTTCAGGAATTAGCTCTCAACCCCGAAGTCATTAGGGCCATCGGGAGCTGGACAGGGACCCAGTGCAAGAAGCTGGACAACTTGGTTCTTCTCTAACAAGTCCCATCTCCAGAGCCTTAGGTCTCTGTTGCTCAGAGCAATGCCGGTCAGCGTTGGCTATGTAAGAACAACAGAAGCTTTAGTATGAATCCTTCCAGTTTTTAAATGATGGTAATCACTCAAAGGAAATGGCAAAAAAAAAAAAAACCCTCCTTAAACATTGGAATAAGCAAACAAAGTAGTTGTGGAGCGGCCCAAGAACCATGAATTTCTCCCCAAGTCCCACCACCAAGAGCCAGGCAACAGGGCCTTCCATGAGGGACTTCCCTGTTCCAACCCATCTGTCCCTTTAGTGCCACCACAACAGAGTCCTGGAGACCCGGTACCTTGAACAGACATTTAATCCTCAGACTCCAGAGGCCCAGGATCAAGATGCCACCTTGTGGTACAGGCCTTCTTGGTGTAACTGAGTGTAGGGGAAATGAGGAAGGGCAAGAGGCAGAGGAAGGTGGATGGAGAGATGGGAGAGAGAGGACCTCAGCCTCCACAGGAGGGGAAGAAGCTCCGTGAGGCACACAGTGCTAGGGCTGGTGCCGGTTTCAGGGTGAAGGCTTTATGAAGACAGGAAGGAGTGGGTATGTGGTCTGAGAACAGGTACCCAGAACTGCATGGAGCCAGTGTCCTCAAGGTGAGCCTCTGGAGTGGACAGACATCAAGAGGGGCATGACAAGAAAGGGCTCCCTTGTGTGGTCTTGGAGCATGCTGGGTAGTGCAGCTGTCATCGTCTGAGGTTATTGGCCAGAAGCTTCATGTCCTCTGGAGACAGCTTTTCTAAGAGCAAATAGAAGCATGTCCCCTTGGGGAGGATTCTGGGGTGCTGCCCATCATCATACTCAGCAAGTATCTTTGGAAAAGAGTGGGGGGGAAGATTTCACAACAGGGGCGGGAGGTGGGGGGCATTGAGCCTGGTGAGCATCTCCTCGGCTCTTCACTGGAGCTCCTCCTCCTGGCTCCATGCTCCTTCCTCCCTGGCATCTGCTCTGGTTCAGAGTCCAGGCAGCTGCCGCCATGGAGGATCACTCTGGCTGTGTTTGGAATTTAACTTCCTCTTCCACATCTTATGAGCTCTTGAGGGCAAAGCAATGGATTCTGTTTTATACTGCCTTTCTGTCGTCTTTCTGTGACCAAATCAGAGTTTAACCTAAATGGCAATTGTCAAGCATGAGGGGTTCTTATCCATAGAGGGCTGGAGATCTGGTCCTGGGATATGAGGCCGCCTGAATTCATGGCCAGCTACCAAAGTACTAGAAAGCAAATCCAGGAAAGGCAATGAAGGTGGATCAAAGTTGGAGAGTAAGACAAAACGTGTGTGTGTGTGTGTGTGTGTGTGTGTGTGTGTGTGTGTGTGTGTG